CCGCCGCCCGCCGGGCGTCCCGGAAGACGCCCCGACGCCGCATCGCCGAGGCCGCGGGGCCGAGCCGGCCCGCCTCGCCCGCTCGCCGACCCGTCATCGCCCAAACCACCAATAAATAGGGATAGAAAGAACTATAGAGAACTATATGAATGAGGATGGATGCCAAAACCAAAAGCAGCGCTGGCCCTGTCGCGGTGTATTTCCTAGTTGGATATAGATGTCTATATACTCCGTTACTTGGGTGATAATCGGCAATACGCCGCCAAAGGTGATCGTAGCCACAGGATAATGACAACGCGAAGAGCAGAATTGCTAGATGGAGAGTTAGAAGGGATGAAATTACAGCAAAAAAAACTTCCCCTTGGACTAAAAGAAGAAAAGGCGTGAAAAATAATGTGAACTTGGAAAGTGGGAAGGTTCATATCACATGGATGCGTCGCAACAATGGAAATTTCAGATATTTCTACAATTAGGAAAAACGTAAAAAGGTGGTTAGTGCTTATACGCCCTTATCTATCTAAAAATCCATGATTTTCTATCTAGTATCAGTTAATAAGATTCACCTTAACACAAAATAAAAAGGTACTAAATACAGATACGTGAAAAAAATCATTTCTTATACAATCACAAACTTATGTATATATATATATATATAAAGATCACCGACATTAGCTCTGAGATAAAATAGGAACCCTTTCATCTCATCAATCCTCCTAGTGCAGTCGTCTAGTCAAAAAAAAATTATTCCAGGCCTTGTTGAACGCGGACAAGGATAAAAACACATTAGCGCCCTAACGTTCCATTAAAATTGCGGCGATGCCTTTAGCTTGAACCGGACATCACCTCCAAGAGCTTCCGCACGACCTCGTCCGCCTTGACAATCTCGAGATGCCGCATGACATTGGGGTGTTGAAGCAGTTCCTTCCCATAGCGCGCGAGCGGATCCAGCACGCCCGCCGTGAGCGTCTGGGCGCCCGGCTTCGCGTCGTCCGCTTTGCCGTCAAGAGGATAGGCGGCTCGGCTTGTGAGACGAAACCCCCCCCGGCCCTTCGGCGACGGTTGAAGAACATCAATCGCGATCCGCGCGGCGTCGACCCAGGGCAGCCACGTCTGCGCCTGGCGAAAGGTCGTCAGCGCGGCGCCCTCCTCATCGTCATCCCCGTGGGCCCCTTCCGGATCCAACCCTCGCTGATAAATATGAAAGACCTCGAGAAGCGTGGTGATGGCGGAGTACGGATCCGCCGCGCGGTGCGCCTCGCGGAGGTCAGGGGGGGTTTTCACATAACTGCAAACCAGCGCCGCCCGGAGGACCCGGCGGTAGCCCATAAATTGATTCCCCAGCGAGGACTGCTCCACGCAGCGGTCGATGAGCTCGGACCACTGACTTCGCAGCTCCTGGCGCGCGTCGAGGTCGAAGTCGAGCGCGCGGTTTGGCGCGCCGTCGAAAGGGGGGTCCCAGTCGTCGGCCTGGATGAGATGGGTGG